CTACTATTCCAATAGCTCTATGTTGTCTGTATAATGTACTAATTTACTCATTTTTTTGCAGTGGGAAGTTTGGCCAAGTTTACAGGATGACCCACAAAGAAACTGGTGATATTTGTGCTGGAAAATTTTACCGTGCCCGAACCTCAAAAGACAAAGCTGCTGCCTTGAAAGAAATCGAACTCATGAACTGCCTTCATCATCCCAAACTGGTCCAGTGCTTGGCCGCTTATGACACTCGCCCTGAGATAGTTATGGTCATGGAGTAGTACGTAATCTCTTTTTAATCTCTTTATAAACTCTGTAGTCTGTTGTTTTGTGTTTATTAGTGTTGTCTTGAAGTATTCCAGGTGGTGAGCTCTTTGCACGAATTGTTGATGACAACTTTGAGCACACGGAGCCGACCTGTGCACGCTACATGCAGCAGATCTTGGAAGGAATGCAGTACGTCCATAAGCAGAATATTGTTCATCTGGATCTCAAACCTGAAAACATCGTCTGTGTGGACACTACCGGCACAAACATTAAGATAATTGACTTCGGGCTGGCCAGCAAACTAGGTATGTAATTTATTCTAAAAAAAACATATTTTCACCACTGACAAAAGACTAGATTATCACTTCATTACTTGAGAGATTGATATTTTTGGCACCAAAGGAACTGATCATTTTGCTTTGGTTGATAATGTGTTAAAAAGTTGGATTAGAGGTGTATAAAAATGTAATAATTTGAGTTTGTTGGATTTTAAAACACTTAAAAAGGCTGTAAAACGAGATAATTAAAATAAAAATTTGCTCTCTGATCGTTCATAAGGGTATAAAATGATATTTCTTCAATTAATGTGTAGTAAGGAATTGAACAAGTTAAAACCAATGCAGAATATTTGTAAATTTAATTTAATGGACCCATATTATGACTATAATGATTCTTTGATGGTGATGCTATTTCCTGATCTATGTTGTTTCCTCATCGCAAACATACCCCAAGTCTCAAATAAAAAACACACTGTTTTTCAACTCCATACACTTTCACTAAAGTCATTTGAATACTTTCAACCCCAGAATTTCAAATCTCTACTGTACTAAAGGTATATGGTAGCTGTTAACTTGAAAACTGCTGCTTCATGACATCATGAGGTGGAACAGAACATTTTGAGTTTTGAAGATGTAGACAGCCCAATAATGCCAACTCCAGGTATGTTTTTAAAAAGGTAACAATATTATAATATGGTTTAAAGCTCAGGACCTTTTAAAAAAAGTATTTAAATCTTTTTTTAACTTTTGTCAATTTGATACAAATTTAGCATCAGCTGAAACACAACTTTCTAAAAACCCTTTAGCTACATCAACATTTGAACTCTGTACAACATATTCAGGGTTTCTGTGGTTGTCTTGACAGTAGATTCCTTGTTTTAAAGATCGTATCATTCAGTTCTAAAAGTAGCAGCTTGTTGTGCAATGTCTGTCTTGAACCTAAACCAGGACATTACAAGCACATTGTCACTTTTCTGATGGATTGCCATAATAAGTTTAGTATGAGTGTCGTCATCACAAAATATGATGTATCAGTATTGAATTGCTCAAATAAACTTTACTGGTACATGCATTTAGGTTGGTCTGAAATAGTCTTTGAGATGTGTCTGTAACTGAATTCCCTCAGGGCTGATCAAATATTTCAGATATGTAAAGTTGTCGTGACAGTAATTGTTTTGAAGATATGATCTGTCTGTCCTAAAAGTTTTGCAGCTTGTTATGCAATGTCTAACTGCTGAAATGACGTCAGCTAACTGGATTCAGAAAGCTTGAATTAATCTGCCTCAAACTTGCAGCACCTCTTCTAGTCTGGGTGGTCTATTTATAGTTGAGGATTAGCCAAATACAAACATTCAAACTCCAAACCAAATATCCTGAGTCTGTATTTCCTTTTTTGTGGTGTTATTGTTTTGTTTGTAGAAGCCGACAAACCTCTCCTGGTGATGCATGGGACGCCGGAGTTTGTGGCCCCAGAGGTGATCAGTTATGAACCCGTGAGTTTGGAGACGGACATGTGGAGCATTGGAGTCATCTGCTTTGTTCTGTAAGTCACTCCATGAGTTTTAAAGCTGCACTATGTAACTTTTCAGGTTTTGTGCGTGATTGTTTCCATGGAGATGTTATTGCTTTGCCTGCAATGTTCCACAGTATGGCATCATTTCATTCTTTAATTTGTTAAATTACAGGTCTTGGGAAAACTTTTTTTTTTGTGAGTTGGCTCTCCTCCACAGATCTGACATGTCACTTGACTTGTCTTCATGGAGAAAGATGAGTTTGTCATACTGTGGAAAACCGATAGCGTCTCCATGGTGACAGCAGGTGACAGACCCTCCACCAGACAAGAAAAACTTAAAATGAAAAGATAACAGCCTTAATTCCTAAATTTGGTGCCCTCTGCTGGTGGAAATATAGTACTACTTTTTTTTGACATTTTCACATCAGCACAATTTCAGGTGCATGTGAGTAAGTTAAATATGTGGTTTACACAATATTGATTAATTACCAGAAGAAATAAATCAATCATTTCACTACATATGGTAAAAAATATTGCTTGGTATTCTCTAAATGCCCTGAATATTTTTACTGTTATGAATACCTTATAGATCATAATGCATAGAGTAAAATAAATAAAATATAAAATGCCTAAAGCTAAACACATTTAGCATAAACACATAAACGCATAAATGCATAAAGAAGTTAATCTTCCAAGTTGGTAATTACAAGAAGCCTGTCCCCTCAGCAAACCTTTTTGTTTTTTAGGCTCAGTGGAGAGTCCCCCTTTCAGGGCAACAACGACGCTGAGACTTTTGCTTTTGTCACTGCGGCGAAATTTGAGTTTGACGAGGAGAGTTTTGAAGACATCTCTGACGAAGCAAAGGATTTCATTTCATCATTGCTAAAGAAAGATCCAACGTTTGTAAAAATCTTGTTAACATGTATTCTTTGAAAACATGAAAATGGCATGCAATGTAACCGTTTTTCTGTGATGTTTGTGATTGTAGAGACAGATTGTCCTGTACTGACGCTTTGGCTCACCCCTGGATGGCCTCTTTCACCCCACTGTTGCGGAGACCAACCAAATCTTTAAATAAGACAAAAATGCGGCGCTTCTTGGCCAAACGAAAATGGCGGGTAAGATTTATAATTTTTTTTCATCACTTTTTCTCATCACTTTTTCTCATAACATTAGAGCATACATCATTGTATTGTTTGTCATCCACTTGAATTTGACCCTACAATTTTTCTGGAGCTGGGTCTGACACCTGCTACATGTTACTGCATCGCCATCACGAGGTGGAACAAAGTGTTTTTTGTCTGAGAGGAGAACTGAGCCTTTGTGCTTTAACCGGAATTGTTTTGTTTCATTCACACGTTTTTGTTTTTGATGAGGAAACGACATTATAACATAGATCAGAAAACAGCGTAATAAGAGCGCTTTAATGTATATGTGTATTATATAGTGACTGTGTGTGAAATTTTATGTCACGAAAACCAAATTTCCTCTCGGGGTCAATTAAGTTTACCTTACCTTATTTGGTGCCCTCTGCTGGTGGCTACATTTATTAATTTCACCACTTTTTCTCATGATAACATTTGAATCCATTGTCACATAAAGTCCTGGAGCTGTTGGTTGCGAGTGCAGTTTGTCATCCACTTGAATTTGACCTTTTTAAACTTGCAGAAAGCTGGCAAGGCTGTCCTGGCCCTGAAGCGAATGGCTAACCTCTCCAACAGGCCTGACTCCCCTGGCAGCTCCTCAGAGGGTAAGACCGATAACGCGCCCACATACACACAACTACATACAATGGTATCTTGTCCTGGGGCGGAGCTGCATATGGGAGGGTGACTCAGTTTCAGATTGTCACTTCAAGTTTAGCCCTTTGTGATCAGGAATGTCTTTGTTTCTTCTTCTCTCTTCGTCGTCTCTCTCTCATCTAGAGCCAGGCTGGAGCCAAGAGGCAGAGGAGGCCATCCGCTCTTTGGATAAGCAGCTCCAGTGCGAACCGCGTTTTCACCAGACTCTGAAAGACACAACTCTGCCCAAAGGAGCCACGGCTGAGCTCAAGTGCCTCATCAATGGTAAGAAGTGGTGGATCACATGCAGTGAAGTAGGGGCTGGGTTTTATGGCCAAAAAAAAAAAAAATCACCTTTTCACATCACATCACAATTTACAATTGAGTTGTAGGTTTTACTCTTAAACCAAATGTTAAAATGTTCAATTATTCAACTATTATTCAACTATTTTGATTTTCATTAAAGGTCCTATATTTTGCAAAATTGTCTCTTGTGACCTTTAAGCCATGCTATAGTGTTGTTACCTCCTCAAAAACGTGCCTGGCGTTGTGTTTTGTTTCATTCAGAAATGCTTGTCTATTATTAGTCTGTCTATACATCTCCAAAGCTCAAAATGCTCTGTTCCACCCTGTGATGTCATGAAGTGGTAGTTTCCAAGTTAACAATTTAACATTTAATAGTTTTACTTTTAGTTCAGAAAAGATTGGCAATTTCAGTCCTGAAATCATCCAAATGATTCTAGGTGTATGGAGTTTAAAAACACAGGGGAGCCCTTCCTGTATTACCACATGACATCACAAGGTGGAACAGAATGTTTTCTGTTTGACAGAAGAACTCCTGAATCCCTAAATACGCAGGAGTTGTGTGTTAAACATGTATGAATGAAACAAAACACAACTCCAGGTATGTTTTTGATGATCAGATCAGAAAATAGCAAAATATGGACCCTTTACATTCCATTGGAAAAAGCAAAACAAAGATATTTTAAATTTTGTTTTCCAAAGTCTGAACTCTGCTTTTACAGACACAGGGTTGACTGCAGACCCCTCATAAAAATGCTTATTGCAATATAAAACTATAGAACATCCATTTGATTATCATTAAATTCATAGCACCACATTGGAAATAATTCCATTAGAATTTTTAATTTTAACTCCTGTACAGAATATCTGATGCTTTAGAAGCAATGATCAGGAACCACCAAATAAATGACTTAGTTGTTGACCTTTTACCAGATGAGAGAAATGAATAAACGTAACTGTAAACTGCATATACTCAACTCAACTATATTTCTATAGTGCTTTAAAAACAACACAGTCGACCAAATTGCTGTACACAAATGAAAGAGAATTCATAACAGACAGTGACAAATGGTAAATACTCAACCCACAAACAGAGTTAAAAGCCAAGGAGAGAAAGTGAGTCTATAGGAGAGACTTAAAAACAGGGAGTGAGTCAGCCAGAATCAATGCGAAGGAGCCCAGGGGCCAGTGAAGAGACTGAAGGATGGGGGACATGTGGTCAAATTTACATGATCCAGTTAAAAGTAGCTGTAAATAGGACAGTGAGCTATTGCTGTGTCCAGTGTAACGTGAATTGAAATAATCTAAATGAAAGAGGATAAAAACATGGATTAAAGTTTCAAAGTGACAAGATCTCATTTTATCAATCTCATTTACTTTGGCAAGTTGCCTCAACTGAAGTAAGATGTAAACACTGCAAAATAATTTCACCAACATATTTATAATTATCTGTTGGTGTATCTGGTATCTGGTGATTCCTCTAACCCTAACAATTCTCCTGTGTTTAACTTTGTGTTGCAACATTGTAATTTCCCCAGTGTGGGGCAAATGCATTTTTTTGTTGCTCATTACGTACAGCATATTGAATGTTTTTTTATTCATCACTCTTGTAGGTTATCCAGAGCTGCAGGTGAAATGGCTTCAGAATGAGAAGGAGGTCCTGGAGTCGTCTCGAGTGAGAAAGGAAATAAACAAAAATGGAGTTTGTTCTTTGGTTGTGAGTGATGTGAAACCCTCTGACTCTGGAGTGTATGTGTGCAGAGCCAGCAACAAGCTCGGAGAGGCCATGTGCTCGGCCAAACTGACTGTAACCCACTGAACGAAATTTCACAAAGCTATATTAGAAGTTTAACATATTTTGTATATTAATGTGTGGTTTTTGTATATTAAAGAGTGGTTTCAGTACTAAAGCTATGAATGTACAGATTAACTATTATTAAACTCACTCATTGAGGTCAACAACATTTACAAGTATTTGCACTAGAATATTTTAAATAAACACAGAAAAAGAATCATTTTTAATGATTTTGGTATTAAGTTTGGTGTGTAAGTCTGCTTTATAGACATTTTGTAGTTCACAATCAATGCTCTAGTCTAATAAATGAGAACAAGCATTCCAGTGTTTTCCCACTTTTATTATTAAACCTCTAGTCCATAAAAGCATTTGATAGGTACATCTGAAATCATAGACTTTTAAATCTACATGCTTTGAAATATTAATATAAACTTGAAAAGAACACAAACCATGTCTAAAGTACCTATATAAGAAATATCTGGAATTTGACAGATGCGCACACAAATTCATATAAATTGTTAATTTCGGTTAGAAATTTTCCAGCCACATAAACATACACTTAGTCTCTCATTACTTGCATCAACTCAAAAATTACCATTTGTAAATAAACCAAGAAAACCTCGTACCATTCCATTTGAACTTAATTGCCTTAAAGAACCTCTCAGTCTGGATCGTAGACTGTACATTCATGTTAATACAGTGTATGTATTGTTTGATAGTGTTGGATAGGATTTTAAATAAACTCACAAACTGACCTTAAAATGTTGCAGCATAGTTAAGGATTAAATATTTTTTAATTTAATAATTAAATTAATCTGACTAAAGATTAATTTTTGATATCCTGGACTATGTTACTGTTATAGCAGAGTATGTCAGTACAGTATACCAATAAAAAAATCTACATTAGGAATAATATGTTTTTGTTGTTTTTTGCAAGTGGCACAGTTCACTTTAAGGCAACATTTCCTTATATAGATTAGGCAGTTTTGAGTCTTTGGATCGGCATGCACTCCTCCTGAGCAGAGTACCCTGACCCATACAGGCATCTACTGTCCCTCTAGTTTTTGCTGGATTCTTTTCTGTAGTAAATTCCACGCTTTTAAAACCTACAGAACAAATGAATAATGCACAATTAAAAATTATAAATATTGTCTTCGTGATAATTCTACTTCAGTGTTTCTGACCTGTTTTTGGGTCACTTCTGGTTCCCACAGTGTAGTCAAAGCCACATTGGCATATTGCACCTGTTTGGAGTTGGACCACTGGCTGTGCAGCCTCCTCAGGGCATCCTCTGTGCTCACCCCATCACGCTCCCTTATCCGTGACACTGCCTGTAAATGGAATCACATTTTCTTTAAGTTTATGTCTCCCTCTTGTGGTCAGCCATAGGCACTACATTTGTTATTAGGTAACTGTTAAAGGGCCCATATTACACTATTTTCTGATCTATCTTATAATGTTGTTTTCTCATCACAAACACAAAGAGAGCTGTGTTTTGTTTCATTCACACATGTTTTACACACAAACCCTGCACATTTAAGATGAGTTCTTCTCTCAAACAGAAAACACTATGTTCCACTTTGTGATGTCATGAGGTAATACAGAAAGTGCTCCACTGTGTTTTAAACTTCATACACCTTCACTAGAATCATTTACATAATTTTCGTCCGGGAATTACCAATATCTACTGAACAAAAGGCAAATGGTAGCGGTTCATTTAAAAACTACTGCTTCATGACATCACAAGGTGGAACAGAGGATTTTAAGGTTTGGAGATGTAGACAGACTACTCAAACATAAGCGAATGAAGCAAAACACAACTCCAGATATATTGTTGATGAGATTACAGCATTATACCATGGTTTAATGCTCAGAAAAGTCCATTTTGTGTAATATAGGACCTTTCATGGAAAATGTAAACTGAAATATACCTCCTCCTCAGGGATGACCGTAACCCAAACTTCATGGACCATATCATTCCAACCGGCCTCCAAAAGAACTGCAGCATCCAGCACACAGACTTGTTTACCTAAGATGAGAAAAATTTGTGATTATGACATAAATTATGTAAAGTATGCATACACAATTAGAATATATATGTTGCTACTTGTTACAGAATGACTCACTAAGTACCTTCATCTCTTGCTTGTTGGATTCGGTTTTTAACCAACAAGGCGATTTCAGGCCACACTATGTTCGTTAGAGCTTTTAACTGTTCCTGAAAAAAAATCAACACATGGGACATTATCTATGAATCTATTTCATTTTCATAAAAATATGAGGAAAAAAAGTACAATGCAAGGTACCTGATTTCCAAAGACTTTACTTCCCAATGCTCGTCTGTTAATTGTTTTATCCTCATTAAGGATATCTACAATAAAGAAAACAAATGTATGCTTTTAAATCAAATGTTTTTAAATCGCAAAACAAACAAATTACTTATGCACCAAAAACAAGATTTGATCACAATTTTATTATTTTAAACAAGTGTATTTATTTTTTTGTATATTGATAAACAAGGGGGGAAGGCGGTTTTGGGTCCTGATTTTGACATGTCTGTGATGGAGTACCTTAAGTGACACTAAAATATTGTGTTTATAAGGTGCAGTTCAAAAATTGTCATCTGTCAAAATAGACTGAGAGTGTTTGATCAGAGAGTGAACGGAGCCACTTAAGAAGATATATGGCCCATTTGAAGTGCCACATCACAGCGAGGAGATGGACTGGATTCATCATATGTTATGAATCAGTGTCTCTTCAAATATAACATGTCGCTCTGTGCTAGTTTGTCACTGAACCAATCAAACATGTAAAAGCCAAAAGCCATTCCATCATCTTTCATCAGTCATCAAAGCTAGGACCTCTACTTCCACTATTGCCCCCAATATGTCAGTCAATATTGTTTTAAATACTAAAAAAAAAATACATACTTCTTCTAAATTACAATGGACTTGCTTATAACATGTAGGCTGATGTAATTTTTTTGAGAGTATAAGGATTGGTGAACAACAGCAGACAGAATAGATGGTTTCTTAGTTTCTTAGCACTTTTCCTTAGGCATATTTTTGATTATGTAAACTTCAGCAATTTCATGATCTTGTGATTGCAATTTGAATAACTTCAGTGTCACCCTTTGGTCAACAAATTGCTGCAGAAGGAACGCCTTCAGTCAAACAAGAATTTCTTAGGTCTAGTGCAAATTACAGATCACCACATAAAACAGTGCATCCCTTCTTCGCTCCCTCACCTGAGCCAAACACCTGCAGTACTCTGTGGTAGGCAGCTCTCCCGGGCTCATACACCTCATGGCCCAGTTTGTCACAGTCGATCCGAACAGCTCCCAGCGCCTCCAGACGTTTAGCAATGGAGCTCTTTCCACTGCCACTGCCTCCCGTAAGACCGATCACGTACGGGAGGAGAGGGAGATGAGATGAATCCTAAAACATAAACAAAACAAAACAAAAAATTTGAATTCTAAATTCCATTACCAATAACAAAGGATGGGTGATATGCCAAATAATGTATATCACAATTTTCTAGAGCTTAGATTCACAATCTGCCCAAAGTAGCTTTCTAGTGTTTTTGAGCTGTAACTAAAGTTATCTGGTCCCTGAGTGTTGGTACAGATTTGCAGTAATTGATTAAATCTGCCTCTGACTCTCCCATGACAGAAGTTGACCAATAAGATGATTGGCTGGGAAAGTATCCTGAGTTTAAGCATAAGCATAAAACAGTATCATAATATGATAATAACCCCAAACCTTGTAACTGGGATCAGATCACAATAAAATTTTTATTGTCATTTCATCCAGCCCTACCGACAAGTCAACTATATGTAAACAAAAACTGACCACAAAATATTTAATACATATTTGAATTATAGTCAGGCTTTATAAAATTAAATTATATAGCTGCAGTGTGTTGTACCAAAAATACCTGATTTTGATTTTTTTCTTTCCATGTCATACATTATTTTAATACAAGTGAACTTTTCCTACAGCTAATGAGAAGTTCCACTAGTTTAAATCAATCTCATCAAGACATAGACCATGTGCATTTGTGTAGGTCTTGAGATCGTACAGAAGTTATTTAGTGACATACTTTGGGTTGGGTAAGAAGTGTCCCCAGTAAACGCGTCCGGAAACTGGAGGAGCTGATTTTCTCCTCTTCGATTTCAGAGTGGTGTGCATCTTTAAGCAGCTGGATTTCATGAAGGACAAGCGCTGGAAGACCCTGACAAAAACAACCAAATTATCATATTGGATACTTTTTAAAATGTCAGATTTGCCAACAAACCCAGAGTCAATTGTATGCAGTTTTGGCAATATAGTCACATTACACAAAACAAAATACATTAGAAAATCAGTACAAAGAAACTGCTGACTTACATTTTCAATGCGTTTCTTGTTGACAGCCTCGCCTCCTTTCCTGGTCTCCTCACTGACTACAATACACTCCAGCAGAGGGTCTTCCACTGACACTCCAAAGGGGTCATCCAGAGGCACGATCTCCACCTCCAGAGAGGGCTTGACGTCCTGAAGAAACTCCTGCAGTTTTTGGACACGCACAGAGTAGGGCTCGATCAGCTCCTTCAGCACTTTCTCTGACAACAAAGAGAGACACTGTTAGGCATGGCAAAAAGTGTGGAATTTTTTTCTCATATTTGTCACTTCAGTTTTGGATAATTTTAATGAAATCAGTCACCAATATTCTAGTAAACAGTAAACTTACAAAATGTGCCATCTAGGTTAGTCAAAAGTATTATTAAAACTAGTATTAAAATTAGATATTCATGAGTAGAAGTATCAATACTAAAAAAAAAATCACATTTGCAGGACAGAAATGAACCTTTTCTGAATAGCTTTAGAATGATCTTGAGCTGTATCAGCATAAGACCACATAGACTAATATACACCCGTGAACCACTATGAAACCTTTAACTTTTTTTTAAAGACAATAGAGTAAAGTGTATTTATCTTGTTGACATGTTTCAACTGTGTCAACTGTCCTGTTGACCTTTCTGAAGATGGCTTGCAGCTAGCAGCCGAAACATGTCAACCAGGTAAATACACTTTACTGTACTGTCTTTTAAAAAGAACCCAAGAAGTTAAAGTACATAAGAAGAACATCTTTAGCATTATGTAGCCTACCTGGGCAACTGAGTGATTACATAGATATAAGACTGCATGGTAATATAAAAGAAAGCACCAGGATTTAATGTTGACATTCTAGTCTAAATAAGGGGTGCTTTTTTCCC